TGTCTCCATCTGTCTCTATCTCTGTCTCTTATGATAAAATTATATGTGTAATATGAGGGTAGCGGCTGGTGAGAGGAGCTTAGCGGGTTAAAAAAATGAATAAATAAAATAGAATAGTTTCTGCCTTACTCTGAGACAGGCGCATGGATTGAGAAACCTTTAAAGCTGGAAGAATATCTTATGTTTCATGCAAGTACGGGCTAATTATGAATAGCAGAAAAATTCTGTTAATTTTCTCGAGATCAAGGAATAATGATGTATATTACTATAAGAAATTTTTTGTTGGAAAGTTTTTGAGACAGCTTAATGCAGTACCAGCCGTGCAGGGAAGGCAGCTTAGTACAAGACCAGCCGTGCAGGGCAGGCAGCTTAGTACAGTACCAACCATGCAGGGCAGGCAGCATAGTACAATACCAGCCGTGCAGGGCAGGCAGCTTAGTACAAGACCAGCCGTGCAGGCCAGGCAGCTTAGTACAATACCAGCCGTACAAGGCAGGCAGCTTAGTACAATACCAGCCGTGCAGGGCAGGCAGCTTAGTACAGTACCAGCCGTGCAGGGCAGGCAGCTTAGTACAGTACCAGTGTCAGGAGACATATTTTTCCTGCTCTCTCGTGCACTGAATTAAGTACGAAATTGCATGGTGCACCAGTGATGTGCACCGTGATTCAACTTTCTGAATATAACTTTTCCACAGTCGTGTTGGGTGTCGTTGGACAGCCCATGACATTTGCTAGCCATTGATGTCATTCTGATCGCTGTATCAAGTCTGTGAAGGAAATTACAGAAGGGAGTTGATTTCAGGGAAATTTTGTACAAGTCAAGTGTAGAGAGGGAGGTATGGGGGGTTAACGGCTGTAGACCACCCCCCCCTATCACGTGTCCACCTCGTAAGAGAGGGGGTAGCGTCATGAGGCAGGTACGCCATTGGCCAAGGCTCCTGGGCCTCAGGAATGCTGAACCGTGATTGGCCAAGACGCTGAGGGGTACCGCAAGGTACCCCAGGGGTAGACTTGGCGGGAAAAAGACATTCTTACCTAGAACGTTGCTATGAGAGGACGTAATTTTCCATGCTAGGCCAAGCATCGGGAAATACCGCCTGCAACGTTACTAAAGTCACGCCTATCATCTTGCTATCTTTCCGTGTGCCGTCCGTAAGAATCCGGTAGTCGGAAAGTTGCTTGTACCGAACAGTGTGAACTTGTCACCTAGCCACGTAATTGTGGGACGCCATCTTAGAGCAACTGGACTGAGGGAGGCGTTAATTATCGGGCTACGAAAGTGACATCCGCCGTCTATCGTATCTGTGCTTGAAGGTACTGCAGTGAGACGTGATAGAGAAGGTTTCAGTGTTATGAGAGAAACCTTAAAAGTTCAAATGCTGAGTAAAACAAACGAGCAGTGAAGGACTCCGTCTCGGGTCTCGTGTACTGTGTAACACCGTGTACCGTCGTATCCTGGGGTACCGTGTCAAGTGGAAGGGCGTGGTACCGCATCCCTGCTGTTGTGGTCTGCCTAAGCCGGTGTGTCTGCTCCACCCTGGTCTCTGTGTGTGGAGCTAACCCCGTGGTCTAGGACCCTGTGCTCCACCTGACCACGTGTAGGAAGTGAGGACGCCTACGTCATCATCCAGCAGCAGCAGTGGGAGTGTGAGGTTGACGGGTATACAAGTGAATGGGAGTGTTGCGGGCCCGCGTGATTGATGTAAGTACACTGTTTCCGTTTGGGTAATAAAACTCTGAAGCTGGGTTCGCCCCCAGTGTTCCGTCTGTCCTCTGTCCCTGTGACCACCTGGTGAGGTGAATGGGAATTGGAGACGTGTGAGTCTACCCTGTTTGCCGTCATCAAGTTGAGGTTGGGCCCAACTGTGATTTTGACGTGTGTGAGGACACCTAGTGACACATTCAGAGGTAGAGTAAAGTGAGTTATTTGCCGCTATTTTTCTCTATGTGCCGCGTATGTATTCCTGTAATTTGATTCCCTTTTTCAGCAGTGAAAGTGTTAACAGGGAGGTTTCCCTTGGTTATAAATTTTACTGTTGTGTTGTGGTAAAGTGTGAATTATTGGTGGATAATTTATTGAGGGAAGTCATTTACAAGTTTTGCCGTGAGTGGCAAGGATGTACTGTGTTGTACCGTGTGTAAACCATAGACAAGTTTGTCCTTGGTGGAAGGCGTTGTGTACTGTGAAGGATTCCGTGAGAATTAAAGTCAGTTAACGTCACCGGGGGTCACGATTTACTTAACGAGGTCACTTGTTCGTTGAACCTTGTTGTGATTAACGTAGGGACGTGTAAAGGCAACAGTCACAGTGAAGTTCACGCAGTGGAGGAATTGTCAAGTGAAGACTAACGTAGTGTTAACGATTTAATGAGCTGTCGTTAATTGAGTGATTAACGTAAGGGGTTGACGGTCTGTTATGATCGGAGTCAATTGCGCTGTAATTAAGCTGCTGTAATTCGTTGGACTGATCAGATCTGTCTGCGGACAGTGATTAAGCACTCGTAGCTAATTAAAGATAATTAGTAACCGCCACTTAGTGAATTCACCAGGTGTTGATGTTGTTGTTTACACGGAGTGTCTTGTAACCTTGTGTGTAGTACAGTAGTCTACCCTCGTTAAGGTAATCTTGGCGTAAGACCGGAAGAGAACTGTCAGTTGAGACAGTAGGCTTTATCAATACTCGTCTGAATTAATAGGCTGTTGTATTCAGTAATTAATTGGGAATTACTCACCGAATGCTTGACTTTCAAGTTGATGTAATTAACTGATTTACGAGTTATTGCTGCCATTTTAGTGTCGTTGAGACACGTGTGTTTTAACGTAATTGTGTAAATTCAATTAGAGTAACTTTTGTTTTTGATTGTCCTGAGAGACAAGTGTTAACGTAAGATTTTTTATAAGGGGTTATCATTCTTGGATTAACCGCCTTATTACTTGGTACCTCGTTGAGGGCAGCGAGCGCCAGTCAAGTTTTGTGATTAGAGTAGTGATCACCGTGAAGCCGTGACAATATTGATTGCAAGCTTGCGTCACCAGTAGGCACCACTTTGTGCAGTTTGTGTCATTAGTCAGTCAGCGATGACGGGATAAGGATACCGTGGGTCCATCAGGCTGTTGATTAGCTGTTCTTGAATGTGCCACTGGAGTGACAGTAAAGTAACGTAAATTCAGAAGCCGTGCAGGGCAGGCAGCTTAGTACAGTACCAGCCGTGCAGGGCAGGCAGCTTAGTACAGTACCAGCCGTGCAGGGCAGGCAGCTTAGTACAGTACCAGCCGTGCAGGGCAGGCAGCTTAGTACAGTACCAGCCGTGCAGGGCAGGCAGCTTAGTACAGTACCAGCCGTGCAGGGCAGGCAGCTTAGTACAGTACCAGCCGTGCAGGGCAGGCAGCTTAGTACAGTACCAGCCGTGCAGGGCAGGCAGCTTAGTACAGTACCAGCCGTGCAGGGCAGGCAGCTTAGTACAGTACCAGCCGTGCAGGGCAGGCAGCTTAGTACAGTACCAGCCGTGCAGGGCAGGCAGCTTAGTACAGTACCAGCCGTGCAGGGCAGGCTTAGTACAGTACCAGCCGTGCAGGGCAGGCAGCTTAGTACAGTACCAGCCGTGCAGGGCAGGCAGCTTAGTACAGTACCAGCCGTGCAGGGCAGGCAGTACAGTACCAGCCGTGCAGGGCAGGCAGCTTAGTACAGTACCAGCCGTGCAGGGCAGACAGCTTAGTACAGTACCAGCCGTGCAGGGCAGGCAGCTTAGTACAGTACCAGCCGTGCAGGGCAGGCAGCTTAGTACAGTACCAGCCGTGCAGGGCAGACAGCTTAGTACAGTACCAGCCGTGCAGGGCAGGCAGCTTAGTACAGTACAAGCCGTGCAGGGCAGGCAGCTTAGTACAGTACAAGCCGTGCAGGGCAGGCAGCTTAGTACAGTACAAGCCGTGCAGGGCAGGCAGCTTAGTACAGTACAAGCCGTGCAGGGCAGGCAGCTTAGTACAGTACAAGCCGTGCAGGGCAGGCAGCTTTGTACAGTACAAGCCGTGCAGGGCAGGCAGCTTAGTACAGTACAAGCCGTGCAGGGCAGGCAGCTTAGTACAGTACAAGCCGTGCAGGGCAGGCAGCTTAGTACAGTACAAGCCGTGCAGGGCAGGCAGCTTAGTACAGTACAAGCCGTGCAGGGCAGGCAGCTTAGTACAGTACAAGCCGTGCAGGGCAGGCAGCTTAGTACAGTACAAGCCGTGCAGGGCAGGCAGCTTAGTACAGTACAAGCCGTGCAGGGCAGGCAGCTTAGTACAGTACAAGCCGTGCAGGGCAGGCAGCTTAGTACAGTACCAGCCGTGCAGGGCAGGCAGCTTAGTACAGTACCAGCCGTGCAGGGCAGGCAGCTTAGTACAGTACCAGCCGTGCAGGGCAGACAGCTTAGTACAGTACCAGCCGTGCAGGGCAGGCAGCTTAGTACAGTACCAGCCGTGCAGGGCAGGCAGCTTAGTACAGTACCAGCCGTGCAGGGCAGGCAGCTTAGTACAGTACCAGCCGTGCAGGGCAGGCAGCTTAGTACAGTACCAGCCGTGCAGGGCAGGCAGCTTAGTACAGTACCAGCCGTGCAGGGCAGGCAGCTTAGTACAGTACCAGCCGTGCAGGGCAGGCAGCTTAGTACAGTACCAGCCGTGCAGGGCAGGCAGCTTAGTACAGTACCAGCCGTGCAGGGCAGGCAGCTTAGTACAGTACCAGCCGTGCAGGGCAGGCAGCTTAGTACAGTACCAGCCGTGCAGGGCAGGCAGCTTAGTACAGTACCAGCCGTGCAGGGCAGGCAGCTTAGTACAGTACCAGCCGTGCAGGGCAGGCAGCTTAGTACAGTACCAGCCGTGCAGGGCAGGCAGCTTAGTACAGTACCAGCCGTGCAGGGCAGGCAGCTTAGTACAGTACCAGCCGTGCAGGGCAGGCGAGGGAACATTAAGTAACACACAGGTGACACCAAAAAATGTCAGGTAAGAAAACACACTCCTGCGGGTACCTCTATATCCTGGACTGTGATGGACTTGAAGGCGTCGAGGATGGGTCGGTAGCCTGTGCACCGACAGATGGAGCCGTCGAGATGGTGCTCCACCTCCTCCGGGGTCCACGAGGCCTGGCTCTGGGTCAGCCTGCAGGGAAGCCAGGAAGTCATTATCAAGAGAGAGCATTTGGCCAGTATAGCTGTGAAGGTCTTGAAATACCTGTGAAGTCAAGGACTTGAAGATGATGACGTAAGGAAGGACGATGCCTTCCCTTGCACCATCCGATGTAAGGGGGCGCTATTACGCTTGTCTCTTCCCACAGTACACTCCTGGGACCTTACAACAGTAGCCAGGACATGTACCCCACAGCACACTCCTGGGACCTTACAACAGTAGCCAGGACATGTACCCCACAGTACACTCCTGGGACCTTACTACAGTACCCAGGACATGTACCCCACAGCACACTCCTGGCACCTTACTACAGTACCCAGGATATGTACCCCACAGCACACTCCTGGCACCTTACTACAGTACCCAGGACATGTACCCCACAGCACACTCCTGGGACCTTACTACAGTACCCAGGACATGTACCCCACAGCACACTCCTGGGACCTTACTACAGTACCCAGGACATGTACCCCACAGCACACTCCTGGGACCTTAGTACAGTACCCAGGACATGTACCCCACAGCACACTCCTGGGATTATACTACAGTACCCAGGACATGTACCCCACAGCACACTCCTGGGATTATACTACAGTACCCAGGACATGTACCCCACAGCACACTCCTGGGACCTTAGTACAGTACCCAGGACATGTACCCCACAGCACACTCCTGGGACCTTACTACAGTACCCAGGACATGTACCCCACAGCACACTCCTGGGACCTTACTACAGTACCCAGGACATGTACCCCACAGCACACTCCTGGGACCTTACTACAGTACCCAGGACATGTACCCCACAGCACACTCCTGGGACCTTACTACAGTACCCAGGACATGTACCCCACAGCACACTCCTGGGACCTTACTACAGTACCCAGGACATGTACCCCACAGCACACTCCTGGGACCTTACTACAGTACCCAGCACATGTACCCCACAGCACACTGGGGTCACTTGCCGGCAACAACCACAAGTTATCAACAGAATAAATCCCAATTACTTCCTCATTTCTTCTGGAGTTAGCAGAAGTAGAGGACCATTCTGAAGAGGAATACCACCCTCCAGGGACCATCCTCCAGGGACCACCCTCCAGGGACCACCCTCCCGGGACCATCCTCCAGGGACCACCCTCCAGGGACCACCCTGCTGGGACCATCCTCCAGGGACTATCCTCCAAGGACCACCCTCCAGGGACCATCATCCAGGGACCACCCACCCAAGGACCACCCTCCAGGGACCATCCTCCAGGGACCACCCTCCAGGGACCACCCTCCAGGGACCATCCTCTAGGGACCACCCTCCAGGGACCACCCTCCAGGGACCATCCTCTAGGGACCACCCTCCAGGGACCACCCTCCAGGGACCATCCTCCAGGGACCACCCTGCTGGGACCGTCCTCCAGGGACTATCCTCCAAGGACCACCCTCCAGAGACCATCATCCAGGGACCACCCACCCTTGGACCACCCTCCAGGGACCATGCTCCAGGGACCACCCTCCCAGGGACCACCCTCCAGGGGCCACCCTCCAGGGACCACCCTCCAGGGACCATCCTCCAGGGACCACCCTCCAGGGACCACCCTCCAGGGACCAACCCTCAAGGGACGACCCTCCAGAGACCACCCTCCAGGGACCACCCTCCAGGGACCACCCTCAAGGGACCACCCTCAAGGGACCACCCTCCAGGGACCACCTTCCCAGGGACAACCCTCCAGGGACCATCCTCCAGGGACCACCCTCCAGGGACCACCTTCCCAGGGACAACCCTCCAGGGACCATCCTCCAGGGACCACCCTCCAGGGATCACCCTCCAGGGACCATCCTCCAGGGACCAACCTCCAGGGACCACCCTCCAGGGACCATCCACCAGGGACCATCCTCCAGGGACCACCCTCCAGGGACCACCCTCCAGGGGCCATCCTTCAGGGACCACCCTCCAGGGACCATCCTCCAGGGACCACCCTCCAGGGACCATCCTCCAGGGACCATCCTCCTGGGACCACCCTCCAGGGACCACCCTCCAGGGACCATCCTCCAGGGACCACCCTCTAGGGACCACACTGCAGGGACCACCCTCTAGGGACCACACTGCAGGGACCACCCTCCAGGGACCATCCTCCAGGGACCACCCTCCAGGGATCACCCTCCAGGGACCATCCTCCATGGACCACCCTCCATGGACCACCCTCCAGGGACCATCCTCCAGGGACCACCCTCCAGGGACCACCCTCCAGGGACCATCCTCCAGGGACCACCCTCCAGGGACCACCCTCCAGGGACCACCCTCCAGGGACCACCCTGCAGGGACCATCCTCCAGGGACCACCCTCCAGGGACCACCCTCCAGGGACCACCTCCTCCAGGGACCACCCTCCAGGGACCACCCTCCAGGGACCACCCTCCAGAGACCACCATCCAGGGACCATCCTCCAGGGACCACCCTCCAGGGACCACCCTCTAGGGACAGTGAGGGGACTCTGGTAGTCCTCGTGGGAGCTGAGGGTCCAGGTTGTGTCTGGGAGCCACAGGTGTGGAGTCCTTAGAACGGGCATGGAAGCCGACTGTAGGATCCCCAACACCACCCATCCATCTATTCCTCCTTCTTTGTATCTATTACTCCGTCTATCTCACTCTATCCATGTGGTCACTTATATATACACCTATCAATCAATATGTCCATTCAGCTATCCATCAAACCATATCCCTATAACCGTCCATTTACCTTTAAATCCATCCGTCTGTCATCAGTCAATCTCTCTATTTAGCTTTCTATCTATATATCTATCTATCCATTAATCTACCTATTCATCTATCCATCTCTTTGTCCACCTATCGATCTATCCATCTATTTGTCCATCTATCTATTTATGCATCCATCTACTCTACTCATCTGTCTTTCCATCCATCTACTTTACTCATCTCTCTATTCATCTGTCTATCCATCCAGTTATCTTCTTATCCATCTGTCCATCTTTCCATCCATCTATCTGTTTATCTTTCCATAATGTATCCATTAATCTATCAGTCCATAAATGTATCCAGCTATCTATCAGTCCATCTATCCATCAATCTATCCATGCATATATCCATCCATACATCTATATATCAATCTCTTTAGCCATGCATTTATTCATTCATATCTGTCTGTCTCTCTTTCTCTGTCTGTCTGTCTGTCTGTCTCTCTGTGTCTCTTCTATAAAAAATATACTTGTCTAATGAGTGGGCTGTTGCCGGACACTAAAATACTAAAAAAGAATTGTTAACCCATTTATACTGATAAAGGAACGTGGCTTGAGACACCGTTGAAGTTGTGGCAAGTTTTATGCTAGTATGGACAAATTATGATTAGCAGGAAATTTATGGTAATTTGCCTGAGATCAGTGAATACTGGTACATATTACTATAAGAAAAATTTATTTAAAAAAAATTGTTTTGAAAATATTTAGTTGAGTATCCGGCAGGACGGAAGTGCCAAAATTAGTCATGGGGGTTGAATGTGGCACTGACTCACCGTTCCCTTTGTAATTCTGGCGACCCTGACCAGACTATGTTCATCCCATACCCAGACTCTCGGGTACGGAATAAACCTCTACCAATATGAGAGACTAGACCCAGTGTCTGGCTTCCAACTTTGTACAAAAAGACAAACAGACAGAGACATCATACTTTATAATACGGATAGGTGGAAAAGCATCTCTTGGTTCCTGTCCAATCATTTTAGCTTGTTGTGTGAAATCATTGCTTCTTGTTCGTGTTGCAGCTACCCTTTAGAAAACGTGATCTGGATGAATATCATCCTAATTGTTCAATATTTTAAATTTTTTGATGAGATCAGCCTTGTCATGTCTTGTTTACAGTGTTGTTCAATGTAAACAAGACATGATCGGTCAAAACAACTCTAGGGGTATTTTTTAAAATATATTGTTACAATCACTAAAACTATATGGGGAAAAACATCAAATATTACACACACGAAAATGAAAATCGCATGAGTTTGCCTATAAATGTTAATATTTCTTGAAAAACTTAACTTGGACCAATCCTGACCAGTCTCTGTCCGTCCCAAACCACAAACCATTTGTCGTACAAAGTTGGTTGGGACTAACACCAAGCATCTGGCCTCCCACTTTGGCTAAACGAGCAGACATTCTCTCTGTTTCATTGTGTATAGATTGTGTTTAGTTAGTCCTATGATTGATTAGGTGTTTTGGTTCTGTTAATAGTTATTTGCAATCTTAGTATGTGGGAGAAGCATTTACAGAGGTGCGAGTCAACAAACTGTCCTCATAAACTGAGGTTAAATGCTCATTAATCTATCTGCCAAACCCTCTGTTTATGAATGAAAAACTATTTATAAACGGCACATAACTGATTCCGTTCAAACTTTTACTGAATTGGCAATTGTTCTTTTTCTTCTTGTTTACGATTCGCTCACTATAAATGCCTCACCCACAGACAGCAAACACAAATATTTGTCAGAAAAACAAAACCCCTAACCTGATGTATCCTAGACTTAAATATACACAAAGTATTTATATGCATTGATATTAATTTATTTTCAATAAAGTATCAGTTTTAGATACATAGTTCATTATAATTGAGGAACGCGTCTATCCGGGCGGCCGCAGCTTGGATGAGCCTAGCCTGAGGACAGGTTGTAGTATCGACAATGGGAACCAGTTGGGTAATATATACTTTGCTCTCAGTGAAGTCTTTCATCAAATTACACATAATAAACTATCAAACTAGTGCAGAGGAAATGATCAACAATATGGCGGAAGAAACACCTTTGAAAATAGTTTAAGTAAAAATTTTGCACGAAACAATGGATAAACACTGAAAAAGTTTAGATTCAGATAAACCTGGATAAACATTAGTTTGGAAATAGGGTTAATTATATTTGGAACTGATTTCCGGGGAACTTTAGATCACTTGATGGTTTCATGTGTAGGTTAGACACATAAATGAATGAAAATAAGTAGAAGCTGCTACATGTAGGCCAATAGACCATCAGTAGTTACCGTAACTCCTATGTTCACATCTTCCTGTTGTTATACATGTTAATGACCATACCTGGCCACTATACATACTCATGACCATGCTGGGTCACTGTACTCACCCATACATACTCATGACCATGCCTGGTCACTGTACTCACTCATACATACTCATGACCATGCCTGGTCACTGTACTCACCCATACATACTCATGACCATGCCTGGTCACTGTACTCACCCATACATACTCATGACCATGCCTGGTCACTGTACTCACCCATACATACTCATGACCATGCCGGGGGAGCAGTAGCCACACTGGGTGCCGTTGTAGTCAGCCAGACGCTCCTGGATGACGTGGTAACCATCGAACCTGTTCCCGAGACCCTCCACCGTCGTCACCTCCCACCCCAGGCACCCCAACACTGGCACCAAGCACTGTGGGAGAGGTAGGCCTAGTAGTATACACACTGTGGGAGAGGTAGGCCTAGTAGTATACACACTGTGGGAGAGGTAGTCCTAGTAGTATACACACTGTGGGAGAAATAGGCCTAGTAGTATACACACTGTGGGAGAGGCAGTCTTTGTTGTACAACCACTGTGGGAGACGAAGTTTTAGTGATATTCATTGTGGGAGGTCAGTTTTAATAAATCCACGCTGAGAAGACAGTCTTAATAATGCCTACTGTGGGAGGAAATTTTTAGTTATACCCATTTTACGGAGGCAATGTTAATAATACCCACAGTGTGTATGGTCAGTGTTAGTAATACCCACAGTGTGTATGGTCAGTGTTAGTAATACCCACAGTGTGGGGTCAGTGTTAGTAATACCCACAGTGTGGGGTCAGTGTTAGTAATACCCACAGTGTGGGGTCAGTGTTCGTAATACATATAGTGTGTGGTCAGTGTTAGTAATACCCACAGTGTGGGGTCAGTGTTCGTAATACATATAGTGTGTGGTCAGTGTTAGTAATACCCACAGTGAGAGGTCAGTGTTAGTAATACCCACAGTGAGAGGTCAGTGTTAGTAATACCCACAGTGAGAGGTCAGTGTTAGTAATACCCACAGTGAGAGGTCAGTGTTAGTAATACCCACAGTGAGAGGTCAGTGTTAGTAATACCCACAGTGAGAGGTCAGTGTTAGTAATACCCACAGTGAGAGGTCAGTGTTAGTAATACCCACAGTGTGGGGTCAGTGTTAGTAATATCCACAGCGAGGGGTCAGTGTTATCTGGACATATCTGGACATTGTGCAACAGTGTGTGTAGTTGTGCCGTTAGTTCTGTCACTGTTGTGGTGGATAAGTGCCCTGGAACCCCTCCTGTTGCCCCAATGTGGAGTATAAGTGCCCTAGAGCCCCTTCTGTTGCCTCCAGTGTGGTGTATAAGTGCCCTGGAACCCCTCCTGTTGCCTCTAGTGTAGTGTACAAGTGCTCTGGAACCCTTCCTGTTGCCTTCAGTGTGGTGTACAAGTGCCCTGGAACCCCCTGTTGCCTCCAGTGTGGTGTATAAGTGCCCTGGAACCCTTCCTGTTGCCTCCAGTGTGGTGTATAAGTGCCCTGGAACCCTTCCTGTTGCCTCCAGTGTAGTGTACAAGTGCTCTGGAACCCTTCCTGTTTTCTTCAGTGTGGTGTACAAGTGCCCTGGAACCCCCTGTTGCCTCCAGTGTGGTGTACAAGTGCTCTGGAACCCTTCCTGTTGCCTCCAGTGTGGTGTACAAGTGCCCTGGAACCCTTCCTGTTGCCTCCAGTGTGGTGTATAAGTGCCCTAGAGCCCCTTCTGTTGCCTCCAGTGTGGTGTACAAGTGCCCTGGAACCCCCTGTTGCCTCCAGTGTGGTGTATAAGTGCCCTGGAACCCTTCCTGTTGCCTCCAGTGTGGTGTACAAGTGCCCTGGAACCCCTTCTGTTGCCTTCAGTGATATCACGTCTTGGTCGTTATGTTCAGAAGATTCTTATGAATGTTCGGAGAAGCCTTCCAATAATCGCCCGTCATATAACTGGTCAGTCTTTACTCTTTTGTATGTATATATAACTAAATATGTATATGTATATTATGTATAATTGAACCGTCTGCCTGCCTGTTTGTGTGTGCCACAACCTGTGTCCGTACAATTGACTTCCCTAAGCCTCAAGCTCCCTGTTCCCACGCCTCTGTGTTGAAGCTTATGTTGGTGGGTGTAAGCTTGAGCGTGAGGCTATACTGACACTGTTGACCGCCTGAGTCATCTTCTTGCCCGTGGCAGGGTTGGTGACGGAGGCGACGACGATACAGGCGCCGCAGCCACCCTCGTAGCAGGTGGTGTGGGTTCCTGGCAGCCCCTGCGCCTTCAGGAAGCTGGCAAGGCGGGTGGAGGCGCTCACGTCTGACCCAACTGTGCGGCCAGCAGGTCACCCGCAGCAGCGCATCACCAGAAGTATCATCACCAGCAGGTCACCAGCAGCAGCGCATCACCAGAAGTATCATCACCAGCAGGTCACCAGCAGCACCAACAACAGAAGGAGGAACCAAGTTATGAGGAAGCAGGGGCATATGTGATTGAAATACTGGAGCATAATGTAGGCGTCTAGTAACATGACAACATAGAAGCGATGTCATGGCAACACTAGACACAATATAGGAGTATAATGTACGCAACATAAAAGAGATGTCATGGCAACACTAGACACAATATAGGAGTATAATGTACGCAACATAAAAGAGATGTCATGGCAACATTAGACACAATATAGGAGCATAATGTACGCAACATAGAGACGGTATCATGGCAACATTAGACACAATATAGGAGCATAATGTAGGCAACATAGAGACGGTATCATGGCAACATTAGACACAATATAGGAGCATAATGTAGGCAACATAGAGACGGTATCATGGCAACACTAGACACAATATAGGAGTATAATGTACGCAACATAGAGACGGTATCATGGCAACACTAGACACAATATAGGAGTATAATGTACGCAACATAGAGACGGTATCATGGCAACACTAGACACAATATAGGAGCATAATGTACGCAACATAGAGACGGTATCATGGCAACACTAGACACAAAGGATGTAACAGTAGGACTGTTGATATAAAAAGACCATCCCACTACTGCCACCATTGTAACGGGGGCCAGCCTTTAACCTCATTTACTGGTTAAATGCTGGTCGTTATTAAGTAAATATATACAGAAACCAGAGATCTACTGTGTAACCTTCAGTTCACCTCCACAAGATCTAAACGTTTGACCGTTTAGATATCACGGCTCGAGGATACTGTACCCTTCTATGCTACACTGCAAACTCTGACTTACACAACCACCACCTGCTATCCACTGAGTAATTCCTCCAATGGACGGTGAAGCAGGATACCGTCAATTAGGTATAAAACCCCGAAAATGTATCCCCAATTATTCGGAAAGGAGGGATAAGATTTATGTTAGTGTGGAAATTAAATCCAAGTATAAAGGGATTTTCTGCGAAATTAAGCAAATGCTTGCTGGCTTGCAGAGGGGCTAGTTCCAACCATGATGCTTGCGCCCAACAGCAATGTAAAGTAAACGTTGGGGAAATTTCACTAAACACCATAATATTGTAAACAAAATTTATTAAATCAAAGGTATTCAAATAAATAAAGTAACAGTAACACTCCCTAAGCTGAACACTCTCCTAACTGAATATTTTCCTAACTGAGGCAATTGGTAATTAACTACAGCAATTAATGTGGATTTCTACACTATAATAAACTCAGACACAAACAATTACCTTAAAATATTGCAGCCAGGCCTCAATGTTTTGACGTGGCTCCAGGGAGAGATGTTGACCCCAGTTGATACACAGCCTACACTGAATCTTTCTCTCCAATACTGACCTCTCAGAGGCTGACCCTAGGCTAGTTGTCAGATTAATCTTTGAAAATTGCTAACTAAAATCCAGTATTTGTCACTGAAGGTGACTTCTAATTCCAAAACAAATGGGAATTATCTTGATACTCGAACCAGGCTAATTACAATATTGAGTACCTCTTGTATTTCACTAATTTACATGATGTAACAAACAAGATGGTAGGTACCTATTTTTCCAGTGATGAAATATATTTTACCTTTTTCAGATCTTACTGAAGTCAAATGCTTTTTTGATAACATACGAGACTTATTCATTATTCTCAATTGCCGTTAATTTTAACATAAGTGCTTAACCACGATTGATTATTCCTACTAATTCTTTAATACATGACTTCTTCTCCTAGTTTGATGACTCGACACTGGGTCCCTGTGGCGTTGCTGTACAATGAGCTCTAATACCTAGGGGAAGGGATTACTCCCAGCCTGTCAGGTCACTACCAACTCACTACTGGCTTTTAATGTTAAATCTATGGTCTTTCTATATTAACAGTCCTACTGTTACATTGTAACGGGGACCAGCCTTTAATGTCATCACCCACCAGCTGCGTCGTCAAGACTGCAAGCAAACCGGAAGTAAATATAGAGAGATCGGGGAGGGAGACAGCATGTAGCAGTTCTAATTATTCTCTTCGTTGGATCCATGGTTACATCGTCTATTGTAACGCAAGCGGAACGAGGCGGACACTAGATAAACGACACGGGCTCCCTACTGCGTATTGTTGACTCGCCATAGAAGGGGGGGCCACAGCCTCCCTCGGCCCAAGGGAGGCTGTGGCCTCTTAACTGTACAAGGGTATGCACGATTGGTGTTTACGGTCTAGTAGTCTGGTGTCATCAAGAAACCCCTGCGATGAACTGAACCACGGTGACTGAAGATTGGGAGCCACTTGTTTTGCAAACACGCCACCCACCTCAACGCCTTTCTGCAGCTACTTCTGTCACGAAACATCGTTGTTCGTTTACGTCCAGCATTTCCGTGGCTCAGCTACCGGTTCAGTCTCTTCTATCAAGACTGTTTTGTGGGCTACAAGATGAGTAATGAGTCACGTCTCTTTAGGGAGGTTCACCCGACCGGCGACAGCCAGTCACAGGCTGTCACTGATCACTCAACACTCAATTCTAGGACAGTATGTTGTCCTTCAGCGGAAACTGGATGAAGTACAAGTGGACCAGGATTATCTACAGTCAGCAACTGATGGTCGTTGAAACTACAATCAACTAATCGTCGGTCTTCGAACATCATCATCTATTTTTTTTGTGTTCATGAACAACTGTGGAACAGTAAATGTAATTGCCATCTTTGTTCTATAATATTAATGTAATGCTTTTGAATACCTAGGAACATGTGTTGGAATAATAGTGATTAAATGTTGAAACCAAGAAAATAAGTTACTAAAATTCTGGAGAAAGACAATTTTGTTAAATAACACTGTCTAATGAAAATCTATTGCACGGTACCTAGAACAACAGGTACTAGGAAAATTGTTGTCATGTCGTGTTCTGTGCTTTCAGATCAAGAGAGGCGAACTAAATATTACTGACTAGGTCAGTTAGAGTCCTACCCTGAAGGGCTAGGCGATACCCAGGACTTCATTGTGGGACAAGCGATGACAGCACCAGTCTCTCACCAGCCAATGTCAGACTCGGCACATCTTCCAAAATTCAAGATAATGCAGACAGACAACTTTCCTACAGCATATGGAGCAGTGAGGACAATGGAAGAGGAGCAGCCAGAGATCAAACTTTCTAACAAAGTCAATTTGAGAGGAGGAATTATAATGACATTAGGAGACCAACAGACTGCAAATTTCTTAGAAAAACGTAACAGTCCTGCAAGGAAAACTTTTATGTTTGGAAATGCTGGACCCTTCAGAAAGGCGCACACGAGTCGTGCTTTGGGGATACCTAGTCGACTTTCACTGGATCCAATACTAGAACATAAGCAAATCTTGAATGTGTAACGATCCCGCTCAAATGTAGACAAAGCACTGACACGTCAGGTTCTGGTGACCGTCATGGGACATATGCCAGAAACATTCAGTCTTGAAATTGAGGAATATACCGACAGAGATCATAGGTCCTTGAACCCCTGTGCTGCTTCAGATGTAAAAAATGCGGCCATCATCAATCACGCTGCACCGGACAAGAGAGATGCGGAGTGTGCAGCCTGAGGCATCCAATCAAAGACTATATAGGCAAGAACAACACAAACCAGACCACAATAGCCAAATGCCTAAATTGTGGAAGTCAACATCAAGCATGAAGCATAACCTGCTCTGCATGGAGAGAAAAGTGCAGACAACTCAGACCAGGACCAACTCACAGACCAACAATACATACACCAACACCATCATCTGGAACACTCGTGCACACCCACTACGCACACCCACTCTCACAGAACAAAATTTCCCAATCTTCTCAATGAACTCCAAATAAAAAAAATACACCAAAACCGCTGCTGAAATACAACAAAAGGCAATCACTTTCAGAGTCAACACAATAAATTTACAGTTTTACGGAGGTCCAGCTGAAAAACATCGTGAAGATCATGGCAGAAACCATTAGCAATTGCCTACAGATGATACAGAACGCCTCACAACAACACACGCAAGAAATCACTTGTCTAATAATAGATAAGATCGCACAGCAGACCAAAGTAACACAAGAAATAGACAGTCTGAGACAAAACGGAGCACAAGAGGACAAACACCGCGACATGGACATACAGACTACCAACAACAGTCTGGTAGTCAAGACACTAGACCCTCAAGATCCACAAAAGCAACTGCAAGAAGCAGTGGCCAATCAAGATCAACGGAATCTTACAACACAATAAACAGACATCAACAGCAAATGCAGTCTGATAGGCAACAACACCAACAAAGAAGTATTAAACAGCAGAGATGAACAGATTTTGACAACACAAGAGGCGGGCATGAACAATCAATGCAGTCTGATGTGCAGCAATAGCAACATCGAAGTGATGGACAACAGGGATGCCTAGATTTCAACAATGTAGGAGATGAACATGAACAATCAGTGTAGTCCGATTTGCAGCACCACACGACTTGCGAGGTGGAGAATATAGACGTCGATTCCGAAGAGGAGTTCTACTAGAACAGGCAACACCAACCGAAACCGTCGTCGGGTCATTACCAATATTGCAGTGGAACATACACGGTCTTGGAAATAAAAACCACACCCTTCAGGAAGCTGCAATCAGTACGAAAGCAGATATCATCGTTTTGGAAGAAACTCTATTCCCAGTCACAAAATCCTTCACATTAGCTGGATATCAGTACTATATTATACCGTATGAACAGAGGAGACAATGAGGTTTAATAACCCTAGTCAGAAACACCATACCCAGCCCGAAAAGAGACCCAGTTTCATGTGGGGATGGAGTAGAGGTATTAACAGTAACAGTGAATAAGGCTAATATTGAGTTCCTCATATACAACGTCTTCAAGCCC